GGGCTGCCCCCGGAGCTGCTGCCCGGCCCGTACCCGCGCACGCCCGAGGAGCGGGCGGCCGCCGCCAAGAAATACAACATGCGCGTGGAGGACTACGAGCCCTACCCCGACGACGGCTTCGGGTGAGCAAGAGAAGCGTAAGCGCTGGGGAGCACCGTGGAGCCCGTGAAGCGCTGGACAGGCAGGGGGCTGTAATTGCAGTCGGGCTCGTGTTTTCTTCCAGAGAGTGGGGCCTAAAGAAGCAGCTGCAGAGAGTGTCCTTTGTTAGGAGGGCTGATCCTGAGCTGACAGTCGTGGCACTAGTTGCATGCATGCATTTCAAGCATGTATATGCCATAGTTTGGGAGCTGCAGAAACTAGGAAAAAAAAGTATAGATTTTTTTCCCTTTAATAAATCTATAGTATTTTTGCATGTATAGAAACTAACATAGATTTTTTTTGGTTGTTTTTCATAGGTATGGTGACTATCCCAAGCTCCCTGATCGATCTGCACACGAGAGAGACCCCTGGTACCAGTGGGATCAGCAAGACTTGAGACATAACTGGGGGCAGCCGGTAGGAATGCTAGTAGCTGTTTCCAAGTTGCTGCTCAATTCTTCTTCTACAGAATGGTTACATACACTTCCATGTGGTGCTTTCTCTGTGTAACCTCGTAGGGTTCAAAGTCTTCATTGTAATCATGCCAGAAACAATCGCAGGAAAACCCTTGTGATGATCCTGTATTCTTGTCCTGCCTGGCACTGGCTTGTGTAGATACTCCTGCCCTTGAAGTGGGATAAGGTGTTGATTTGTAAGAAGTGTCTTTTGCTTATAACTTCTAGTTTTGACAGAACTTTGAAAAAGTGCTTGGAAACAGGGGAAAAAAGTGTTCCTCGATATACCATTGCTTATTTGGGATGGCTTTGTAGCATGGGAAGCAAGGTTCAGTTGCCTAAGCCTCTTACATGCTGTAGATTGTCTGAGATTATCATGTGGGCTTGGCCTTTTCTTATGTTTTTAGATGCACTGGGACTTTGACATGTATGTTCGGAGCCGCGTTGATACATCCCCCACTCCGATTCCCTGGCACACCATGCGCAAGCATTTCCTTATCTTTTTGACCTTCATGCTGTTTATGTTTGGTGTTGGAGAGATTTACCCATCTTACAGGCCTGTGGTGAGTGATGCCCTTGGGCAAAAGGAAGAAAAGTAGCTGCGTTGCACCTCACTTAAGGTGCCCGGGGGAGGGTTAAGCTAAAGCTGGGTGATGAGTGCGAGTGTGAAGCCCTGCTCTGAGCAGGCTTGGGGATAGGGGTTTTCCTGCAGTCCAGTCCAACCTGAAGTGTTCTCTTGGCTGGCTTGACTTAGCACATTTTTGTCTCACAGTGAACAGAAGATGCTTCTGCTGTTGCTGTCATTGGAGCTAATTTTAAATTATCTGACTTACAGTTTTCTTTCTTTGGCCTACGCATTGACTTTCCTGTGTGCCGGAGATGCATTTTTTCCCCTCATTTGTCTAGGCCAGTGCATAGAGACACTTTCTGTGCTCAGTCTTTTTATGAAGTATTTTGTGCTTCATAGAACGGTATTCAAAATGAATGCTCGATATCCTCTCTCTTTTCCTGGCTGGTGCTTTTGTTTACATCTTATATAAATTTGGTCATTTGGAATAGTTTTGATGAGTACGTCTGAATGTACATATGACTTTTGCAATATGTTATCCTTGTACTGTGCAGTGAACTGTTGATTAAGGTCAAGTGCGAAACTACCATGGTGTTTCTGTTAAAGGACATGAATTTATATTGAAGACCTCTATCCATCTCTGAACTTGCAGACTTTCCTACTGCTCAGTATTTCTACTGAAACACTTAAGAAATAAGAACTTAACTGTAACTGGCAGCCCTTGATTGCATGTGTATGTGGGAAGATATTTCTCTGTTTTCCTGTGAAGTGCTTGTTTGAATGTAGTGAATTTGCAATTCATATCTGTCTGTCTTTGTAGGGACCGAAGCAATATCCCTTCAATAACCTATATCTGGAGAGAGGTGGAGACCCGAATAAAGAGCCACCAGAGGTGGTGCACTATGAAATCTGAAACCCTAAAAGCTATCGGAAGTACAAAGTTTCTTCTGTGTCAGCTCCACTTGGGATGGCACCTTCTTTGATGTTCACTGTGGCTTATGTTAATGTTTGTTCTTCAACGTTTATCCACTAACTGCAGTGAAATATATTGATGATACCTCATGTTGTTTGTCTTCTGTTGGTTTGAAAAGGTTATGCGATAGCCAATGAAATTATAAAAATGGAAAAGGTCATTTAAACAGGTTAATATCTGTGGGGAGACAGTTCCTCTTGGAGTACTGTCCTAGGACTGCTGCTAGTCTGTCTATGGTGTGCAGGTATACAAGTGTTTCTTAGCAAAGCCTGCACTATTCAGGTAGGAATGTTGCCTGTTACTAAGTTACCTTGTTGCTGCTGGGAAGTGAGGAACTAGTTATCACTTAATGTGAAGGGGCAGCACAAGCAGACTGCTCAGCCCTGGTACCTGGGAGTCACACACCACATGAATAACTGTCCTTCCTCACTGAAACTTGGCTCTGGCCTCTTTTTTTCTTCAGAAAAGCTCATAAGTGAGGCTTATAAAACCAGTGGGCAGCACTAGTGTGGTGCAGAGCCTTGCTGTGTATGACTCGTAGCTGGCAGGGGAGCTCTCTATAGCAGTGATACAACAGACTAAGGATGCAAGTCCAGCGCTGGCCAGACGTGTTTTGCTGTGCCCGAGCTTCGTTCCTGGGTTGAAGTGTGCAGACCCCGATCTGGTTGCTGGAGGCCAGCGCTGGCCTGCCAGCATTGGGGTTATGTCTGACCATGAATGAAGTGGGCCAGCTTTGCCGTAAACTAGTGTTTTGGGGCCTTCTGTGGCCCTAAATGGAAAAAAGATTAGGGCAATAATAGATGCTAAGACTTGGTCTGTGCTCGTTGGTCTGTGTAAAATTTAGTCACCACAATTGTATAGTCCTGAGCTCGCCTCAGTTCTGCTTATTGTACAGCAGTCCCGAGGGTGGCCCTGCCCAGCAGCGTCCTTGCTGCTGTTGCTGCAGTGTTGTAGCTGTGAACCTCCACCCGTGACTTGCTCTATGAGGTGACGTTTTCTGCACGGGAAGGCGTAAGTGCGAGGGCAGAGAACAGGGCTCAGAACTCCTCAAGAGGGCAGCCGTGCTGCGGGGGTTGCGGGTGGCAACCTGGCAGCTAAGACAAGGCCAGAAGGCTGGTGCGCCGGGAGCGGGACGAGGCTTTTCGCCTCCAAAAGGCGAGCG